CTGGTCCCGTGCCTCAGTGCAAATGTTAATTGCCCTTCATGAGAAGAATAGTGCTCGACAGACGTGACACCCTTAGCCTGGAAGCCTCCGAGCGCTCTGCGGCTGCGCGAGAACAAATGCCTCTCACATCTGACCAGTGACTAATGCTACTATGTCCAGCCTTCTCTCCCACTTGTGACTTAGCTTTTCCCAGTCTGCTGTGCTCGTTACCCAGCTGTGTTGTGGAAGGAACAACTGTTTCCATGAGGACATCATTGTCCAATTTTAAAAGAGCACACTTCCCTTCCAAAACATGTCCCAGAAATGATTATCTGTTGTTGGCTTGCTTCTTCAAGAGCCCCGTTGGTATACCGCATCACGTTTTGTTTTGTTTTCTTTTGCTCCTCTCCTTCAACATTGTCATGCCAGGGGCAGGGAAACTTAGGTCTCCAAGTTCGTATTCTGCTCTCCTTCATGTGCACCAAAGAAACCTGAACGAAATCACACAGTAAGCGGTCATAAAAATTACACAGTCACAGGATAGGGAGACATCTTTGGAGTACTTTATGTATAAAGTAGAGGGGACCATCACTCACTTTAAATGCTGAGTGCCAAAGGCACCATGCCTGGGAGAAGAGTAGGAACTGCAAAGGAGAGGGAGGCATACTTTGTTCAGGGAGAGTCAGTCTCGGTCCCAGTATATATGGGGCCATTAAGCTACAGGAGAAAAAAAAAACAACACTAGAATTTCTCCTCAGGTTTTATAACTCGTCCTTTCGAATTTATTTTCTGTGTCTGTTTTGTACCATGCATATCTATTAACATACAGGAATACAAGTATGTAAGTTATCAACAACGCAAGTGTTTTAACTGGTAAGGATGCATAATCAAAAAAGTTCGGAAACCACCGATCATGAACGGAGGGAAATACATCAACCAAACACCTTTTAGTATCTGAGAGAGGCATTATCATCTGCTAATAAGCCATTTGCAGGAAAGTTTCAACAACCTACATATTATTTTGCGTTAGCTAGTGTTTTTTTTTTCCTTGAGCTTTTTTTTTTTTTTAAATCACCACCCGGAAGTCATGTGCAACCTGAAACAACCGGACAGTGAATCATTGTGATACCGCATTCCTAGAGTCCCCCTATTTCATAGGTCGTTAGAGTATGATTGAGAAAATAGAGGGTCTTCTTTCTCCCCTGCCAAGTAGGACACAGCCAGAAATGATGCCCCCCAGCCCCGCAACACAGAGTACAAATCAACCTCAGTAACTTCATTGTGATCCTCAGATTATCAGCCAATGAAATTTTATGTCAGAAAGAGAAATGTGTGGGTTCATTTTGCTTTAATAAAATTGAAAGAGTATGTCATCTGATAAAGGACTAATTTACGCATTGTAAACCTAAATAAAATTTGGGAGGGAATTTATTCCTGCACAGACCCAGAATTCCTGAGTAAATTGGATACAAATCAAAATTTCACTGTAGCAGTGATACACATCCTCATTAGGAATTGCAGAAGGTTCCTATGTACGTCCTGTGGTTTGCATGTGGTCTTCTACAAGTTGCCAACGTTCAGAAAACATTCTTTCAAGTTACAAAAGAGCTGGCTTTCCGCCAGTGCTCCAAATGGCTGAACATTGAAAGAAAGTCAATTGGGAAGCAGAACTCAACAACTGCTTGCCTCATCTTCCAAAGCAAGCCTCTTCTAGAAGAAGAAAAGCCAAAGTATAAAAAAGAGAAACCGGAAGTGAGGAGACAAAGAAGAAGAAGGCAAAAAGAAGAAAATAAAGGTGCTTTCATATTCTCGCAAAGTTGCAACAGTATCCCCAGTTGACTTAATTGGTATTCTTCTGAGAAAAAAAAATCAAGGAAACCAATTGAAAATTATAAAAGAAAATAAAGGTCTGTTTTTGTCTTGAATGTTGAGTTCTGTGTTGTTTTGACTGTTGAGCACAGTGAATCAGATTTATAACGTGACTTTCCTCCTCACCCCCGTCCTTTGGAAATAAAAGGACTCTTTGTCTAGTCTTAAAATGTTAAGTAATTGGTGACATTTTGTGGTAGCCTGGCATCTCAATCCCTCATCCTTTCTCATCCCACTGCTGTGTCTTGTGGTGTTGCATATGTGTATGATGTGTATGAACTGGGGGGAGGGGATCCTTACTTATCTCTAGTAGGAGCTGCACTATTCCATTAATATACTTGGAAATGTTTCTGTGTTCCGTCTCATTGTGATTACTTGTTCAAATGTGCTGCCTAGAGATAAATCTATACTGAATTCTTCTTAACAGCTGTCAAACCAGATTCTTCACAGAATTATGTTGTCCTTTAACCGCAAGAAGGCGGAAAAAAAACTTTCCATTTGTATTTATTTAATACCTGTGTGTGTCACTTTTTAGTATTAAATCTTTACTTATCCTTCTTAAGTAGGACCACATTGAAATTTTACAAAAAAGTCAGTCCCCTGGCCCAGTATTCTACAAACATTAAGAACTGGGGAGAAAGAAAACTGGGTAAGAATGTTTTTAAACAAAATATATACTCCGTACAGTATTAGGTAGTTATCTTAAAATAAAAATTTACTATATAAAATATAAAAATACTTCTGCTTCCCTTAATTCCTAAAACCCAATTCTGAATCCCTTTTTTTTTCTTCACATTCTTTCAAAAACTGAAAAGCTACTGATGCATTAGGCTACCTGATACATTAACCACTATAATTCACATCAGTTAGGCCTCCCACCCTTCCTGCCCACCCCCCCCCAGCTCTATGAAATTACATCTGGCTTGGGGCGCCTGGGTGGCTCAGTGGGTTAAATCCTCTGCCTTCAGCTCGGGTCATGATCTCAGGGTCCTGGGATCGAGCCCCGCATCGGGCTCTCTGTTCGGCGGGGAGCCTGCTTCCTCCTCTCTCTCTGCCTGCCTCTCTGCCAACTTGTGATCTCTGTCTGTCAAATAAATAAATAAAAAAATCTAAAAAAAAAAAAAGAAAAGAAATTACATCTGGCTTTAGATGCAATCCTGTCCTGAGGCACAAAGGATGATGATGACCAAATAATTCCTCAGGGTCTCTTCTTGGCCTATGATTTATGAAATGGAATTATGCTGTTCCAACGCATCCTCGTTTTTACAACTCCCATTTAGTTACTCTCAATGACCTTGTGATTTTGTGCCATCCTGGCTCCAAACCATTCTCAGTCAAAACTCCCTATCTTATTTCCATCTTGCTGTTAAACCACAAAGCAGTTCCTCCTTTGCACAGTCCTCCATTCACCCATCCCTCAAAATCCTCTAGGTGTTGTTGACATCCAGGGATGAGCCAACAGAATTTAAAAAGCTGTTGTTTAAGAGGGATTTTTGTATTTTTATAGTTCTAACTTAGGCATATGATTAAAAAGTTAAAAATTCGTTAGAGAGGGATTAAAGGTAGCATGTGCTGATGATAACAAGGAACTTTCTAATGGAAGGACTCAATAACCATACTGGCCATTAGTTGCTAACCTCTGCAGCAGCGCCAAAAATTGAATATGAAACTGAAATGAAGTGACTTTTTACTGCTAAAGGTGATCCTTTCAAGTTAAGGTACTGTGTTTATGGGCTTTGGGGACAGTTTCAGGTACACTCTCAGAACTTTTTTTAAGAATGCTGCTCTTTAAGGAAGTCTCACAGATTCATCAACGCCTATTGTTAAGTACACAGCTCAAATGACCCCCTAACAAAACTGGCAGTAGAGAATTCTTGTTAAGATTGTGGATTCTAGGGCCAGACTGTCCTGCTGCAATTCTGGCTCTGTCACTTACACTTACTAAGTATGTCCTTGAGCAAGGTACTTCCCTGCTATCAAATGAAAATCAAATAGATCTCCTCTCAGTATTGGGAGAATTAAGAGAGACCGTGAATGGTAATCATTTACCCTTCTGCCTGGCACATATAAATGTTAACTACTGTTATTAGCAATTAGCAATTAGGGAGGTGTTTTTTTTTTTTTTAAGTATGTCAGAAAGCCTAAAATATTCACACGGACCATGGTGGGATGAACAACATTCCATATTTACTCCTTGAGCCAATATAATTAGTATTCCTCAAATAGTACTCTTTGGCTCTCTATTAAAGGAAATGTGAGATAACCCTAATCCTATCTACCACTCAAAGCAAAATCTGAGTTTATCTTTGTTTATCATTATTGAGAAAGATATGACATCAGTGTTCAGTCGATTAAAGAACAAGATGGGAGTTTGATTCATTCAAATAGATCAAAGATCCTTTCCTGAACCAATCTCTAATTTTTTTCCCAAAAATACATAATTGGAGTATTTCCTTCCCAGATCTTACAAACACTGAGTAGCTTCTCCTAGTATGCGCCAGATTCTTCCTTACATTTGCTTAGAAACATTCTCATATTGCATTTTAACTAAGGCATTATTATTAATGAAAATTTATGATCATTTACTACATTTACAATGTGGCAGGCATTACTATGGCAGTCACACAAAACCTGGTACATTATTGGAAGATTTTTATAATCAGATATACTCCAGTGAATGCCATTCCATCTGACACAGTTCGGAAAAATGTAAAAAATAGTTCATTCAGTATTGCTACACCAGGAGAGCTCTATTAATCAGCACTTCTATGCTTCTGAGGATAACAATAAGGGATATTCATTCATTCATGTATTAAAATATTAAATTATGTGCAGGATTGTTTCTGTGTTGTGTACCTTTTGTACTCTGAATGTGATGGACTCAAGATATATACGGCGATTTGCTCTTAAGAGAATATTCTGTTAATCAAACATTTTATTATTTGACCATTCCAAAAAATCTTACTTAATATAACTAGCAGCTGTGGGGTTTTTTAATGTAATAGAGTGTTTTCCCAATCATTCATTATCCTGTTTTCCAGATGGTTTAGATTTTTTTTTTTAGTAGATTTTTGGAGTGTCCATTAACTGTCTATTACACTGGATTCATTTCTCTCTCTCTCTCTCTCTCTCTTTCTCTTTGGACATTGCAGGTGAAAGTAGGGAGGAAAAGTTAGGAGATTCATTGCAAGATTTATACAGGGCATTGGAGCAAGCCAGTCTGTCACCACTGGGAGAACATCGCATTTCAACCAAGATGGAGTACAAGCTATCATTTATAAAGAGATGTAATGACCCTGTAATGAATGACAAACTACACAGGCTGAGAATTCTCAAAAGCACTTTAAAGGTAAGATACGAAATGGAAGGAGAAATTCCTTTCAAGAGATTCATTCTTGAGCTCAGTGGATTACCAGCTACTCTGAAGAAATACAAAATGGGGAGGTGGAGGGGCGGGCAGGAAAACCGGAAGAAGCTGAAGCTGAGCTGTTCCTGTGGCGTTGTCAGTGCACTGGTAGGGAGGAAATAACCCTAACTTTTCATTATCATCTCAGAGTATTGGCTAAATGTTATGTGACATGGTTCTTGGAGAAAACAGGATATAATTAAATTTTTTTTTCAAAAATGTGGGGCTGGAGTTATTCCTCGGTCTTTTGTTTTCCTAACATAAATATGCCATGTAGTTATTAATATAGTTATTAAAAGAACACAGCATGTATGCAGGATGCACTAGTGGGCACTGAAATGCTTACAGATATTTCATGAATATCTCCTACAGCACATTTGGAGTGAAGCCACAGTGATTCGTGTTCCGTGTACAAATTTTATAATTGTTCTGTTTACACTATCAGTTCCCAACTCACATGTAACTTTCTTATTCTACATTTCCATAAGGGCTTACATTATCTCCAGTCTCCTTATTATGCCATCCCCAGACGGGGACGAGGTGGTGAAGAAAGGGTTGCAGAGAGGCAGGAAGTTGAAGAGGGAGGCAGAAAACAGAGCCCCCTCACTGTGTGTGTATGAGGGGAGAGGGCCTGCTCTACCAGTTCTCCCTACGCGGGCCTTCCACCCTGGAAAAATCGAAAACAGAAAAGAACTACCACACAGCGTATGTGGTGCAGTAATTTCAGGAAACAGAAGGTCAAAGGGCTCCTTTGGGAAATATTTCAGATCCATAGTGTGCTGCTGAGGTTTGGTGATTTTGAAGTATTGATGAGTACCAAGGAGATAAACAAAATAGAAAATGCATGATTTAGAAAAGTTTCCAGGAGCTAGCAGCCAAGTTTTCAGAGTCAATTAGCTTTCAGTTGGCATTCATGCAAGCACTATTGCAAATCCATGGGACAACTTAATGGCCTTTTGGTCACTAAGGCCAGAATTCTAAAAAGAGCTACAATATTCATAAGAATAATTCTGCTAGGGGCGCCTGGGTGGCTCAGTCTGTTAAGCATCGGACTCTTGATTTTGGTTCAGGTCATCACTCCGGGTTGTGAGATCAAGCCCCATGTTGGGCTCTGAACTCAGCCCAGAGTCTGCTTGTCCCTCTCCCTCTGCTCCTCCGCTCTCTTGTTCCCTCTCTCTCACACACAAATAAGTAAAATCTTAAAAAAAAAAAAAAAGATTCTGCTGATCAGCCCTGCTCCAAAGATGACCTCACCTTCCCATCTTACAGAGCACCCCCACCCCATTCAGACCCAACTATCTGGTTATGAAAACAAACAGGCATTTTGAAGCTGGTCAGGCTCACATATTTTTAAAGACCTGCTTCTGTCTTGTTCTCTCAGCGCTTCATACCTGTCTTTTATGCTCTAGATTCCCAAAAGCATTTACTTCCATAACAAAGAATTTGAGCTCCTGCCAGTGATCAGTTCATTGAGTATTGGTGAGTCACTAGGGGTGTGAGGCTGTGCTCTCTCTCTGGAGAGAAGATGATGAAAAGTCACTGGAAAGAAATGCTCCTCGTTGATAAAACCGAACTATAGAGCCCCATATTTTTTAGTGTAGGAAGTTAACAGAGGATGGAAATCTCCCGTGAGGGAAGGACAAGTGCCCAAGCAACCCTGGATGTGTGTAGTCCCTGGAATTGTAACAGGCCCCTCACCGAGCGCAGGGCCACTCCCTGCAGCCTCAGCCCAGCCTCGCTGTCCCCATCTGGCCCCAAGGACTGGAGCAACTGCTTAGGCACCTTGCTCTTTCCCGCCCAGCTCTTCCTTCCCACTTCCTGCAGAACATTCCCTAGACTTCTCTGCCCATTCCTTGAGTCCTTAAAAGACAGGCCGTAGCTTTTCAGACTGTCTTACCCCCTCATCTTCTGTCACCCCACCCACCCACCTGGAAGACTCACTTCTCCCATAGAAGACAGCTGTGCTGTGTTGAGTTCTCCCATAAGGAAGCTCATTCTTCAGCTGAGAGCGGGCCTCCAGCAGAGAAGGGAGGGCTCCCTTGCATTGCAGACCCCCAGTGACATTCATACAGCAAGAATTATGTATTTGTGGTGACAGGAGGGTCATGCCCTCTCTCATGCAAGTATGAGGAGCTAACCATCTAGCAGGAAAGACAGGACCAGGCAAAAGTAAACTCAAGACATAGTATGTGGTAAGTCCACTCAGTGGGAGGGATAAAGTGTTAGGAGGACATAAATGAGGGAGAAAACTTTTTTTTTTCGATTTTTGATGGAAAGCTTTAAGAAATGAGAGGCATCTGAACTGGATCTAAAAGAATGAGGAAGGTTTCCATAGACAAAGATGGGAAACAAGACCAGCCAGGAGAAATGAACCACACGGAGTGGGCAATACAGGGGTACCTTGGGTTGTAGGAAAAAAGTACACTAGGACTTGAGTCTAAATAGCTGGGTTGGAGCTTACCAGAGCCCTTTGTTATGGGCTTCTTAAGATTTGCATATTAGCTTCCTATTTTAAATGTGAATAAAATCTGTACCCAACTTAACTGTTGAATCTTTTTTGCTTTTCAGGCCAGAGAAGGGGAAGTAGCCATTATTGATAAAGTCCTAGACAATCCAGACTTGACATCTAAAGAATTCCAACAATGGAAGCAGATGTACCTGGATCTTTTCTTGGATATCTGTCAAAACACCACCTCAAATGACCCATTAAGTATTTCTTCTGAAGTAGATGCGATCACTTCCTCTCTCACACACACTCACTCGTACATTGAAACACATGTGTAAGTGTATTCTGCCCTCTGGCCATCCGGTACCTTCTGGTACATTGAACAAGTATATGAGGTAGTTTTATATCAGTGTGTGGGACACTTGACAAGCTATACTTTAATGTTACCAAACTATATGAAACAAACCATATATGGTCATGATACCACTGTCTTTAATGAGCATTTGTATATTTTATATGCAATTAATGCTCAGCTTATGTTTACCATGTGCAAAATCAACTGTCTTCAATGACTTAAAATTAACTTTTGCAAACAACTCTGAAGACAGGTGGTCTTCAAGTAGTAAAACCACAAAAAGGCAGTTTTCTATCTAAGGTCATCTTTTCTCCCTCTAAGTTAATTTTATATAAACAAGACTTCAAAAAGTAAATCACATTTTTTCAGGTGCAGACATCCTTGTGGGTGGGAAAGAATTTAAACCTTTTTTATATTTATTAAAATGTTCTAAGAATTTTCTTAAACATTGCACAAAGTTTAATGCTGTAGTTTTATTTTTGTGAAATGTAGATGTGCATACAAGAGTTAAGCAAAATAGAGGAGCATCAACATAAGAAAAGTTCAGGTATCTAATATTCGTCTTAAAAGTCTGTTAACTTGTGAAAGCCGGTTAATGGAAATACTATTCCAAATCTACGGGGACACTTAATGGTGTATCAGGGCAAAGCTTTGTAAGATGTTTTTGTAACTAAGACCAAAATTGAAGATAGAGCTGCTTTATTTTCTTGGTTTAAATCTTCCTTTATTTTTGTAGTGATGAAATGCTGATTGTGTACAGAGGAATTTGAGAGTGGATTTTGTAAAACACAGCTAATTTGCCCAGAAAGGCAGCTAACAGATTATATATATACACACATATATGTGTGTATATATATATATAAGATTTCAGCCCAAACTCATGTTTTTAAACTCCAGCTCCTAAAAAACAAGGGATAAACTGAAATGAATCAACTTTCCAGTTAGTTTCCAATTCTCCTGCTAGTCCATTAATTAAACTTACATAATTATATTTCAGACAGGGAAGTAAAATACGTTTAGTTACAGGCTAATGCGTGTTATGATATAGAAAACAATATTGAAAAATTAAAATGCGCCTCTCTCCTGAGGAGCAAGAGGATAATGGTCACTCAGAGATCTATTACATTGAATTGTATGAGAGAAAGAATTTATAGAGGTTTTTCCTAGTTTCATGAATTGTTTCTATAGCGTGGATGAAGTCTGTGAAAAAGTCCTCTTCATATATTTTCCATTTGTAAGTATCTCGTTTTTGAAAGTGATCACAGCATGATAACGACTGTGCTGCTTTTTAGTGTCTGGCTGCATAACGTACAAATCACAATTTGCTGTTTTTTTAGGAGGAGGAAGGGACCCTCCTTTACTATTCTATATCCTAAAATCTACTTCTAATCAGCTTTATACTGTTGCCTGTACAGCTCAGTGAATGTACTTTCATCTCTAAGAGTTCAGATATTATGCCAGTGAGTATTTTTGCTGTAGAGGAGAAAGCAAAAACTCCACAGCAGGGATCTTTTTCTTTGCTTTTGAAACCAACATTGAATCACTATCGTTTTGCAGACTTTGCACACTGTACAGGAGAGTGGCCTTTCTACAGCACATTTTCAGTAATCCTATATTTAGTCAAAATGGATGAGAAATCATGTATTAATGTTTGTATGGAATTTTGGGTCTAGTGTAATATTTTTATCATTTAAAAAAACCTATTTGTAAAAACATTTATTTACTGCATGGATATTGATGTACATTAAATTTGTGGAATTTTGTATATGTAAAAATCAAACAAAAAACACACCAAAACCTCTTGTCCTAAAATGAAGTGTGCTTGTTACAGGTGTTTAGACTTGTTGATGTTTACTAGACCAAATGTGTACATTCACTTAAAACTATCTGTACCTGATGGATGTGTCATGAATACAGTGGCAACATTGTGCCCTGTAAAGAACGAGCAGTTGACGGAAAGACTAGTTGTGTTGCTACTAAGCAGCTTTTACTTTTGTAAAGTCAGCTCTGTTGTTTTAAATGGTAAAAATTAAACTAATGAATTTTAAAAGACTCGTGACTAGCTTAGCATGAAAGAGACCTTTAACACTATATTTATCTGTACATTTTATTGCATTAGTTTCAAATCTAGGAGAGAGGCAGCACTGTAAACTGAAGTGAAATAAATTTAGCTCTTAATGAATCCTTATAAGGCACCTACTTTATTCCTACAGAGTCCTCACCACCTTTCTTTGAGACCTAATCACAGAGCCGCCCTTCCCCGACCCCCTTCCCTAAGTCAGGAGTTGTAACTTTGCCGCCGTCCAAGCCAGAAGCAGCAGCTGTTCATGTGTGCAATGGTCTTTTCTGAGACCCGGCAAAACCAAGCTCCTTCCCCACTTAGAGGACACAAACTTGTACCTGTTCCTCTTTCCTTTCTGTTGATTCTTGGGAAGTTGGGGAGGAGGAGGGACTGCCAAAAATGTGTTGTATGTTTGTTTGTTTGTTTGTTAACAAATATAACCTACAACCTGTCTGCAGAATGAACTTTGAAAGAAGATGAAAGAAATAAGTTTGGGTTTTCCTAGATGTTCCACGTAACCAGAAGAACCTGACTATTATGGCCAAGGACTGCTGAAGTAAAACTGAAACCAATGAGCTGACTAAAGCCAGGGCAAAAGCAGGCTAGGGGTAAGAATGAGGGACAGAAAAACTTAACCTAGGATATTTTCTCAAAAAAAAAAAAAAAGTTCTTTCTTAGAGATTTTCTTCCCTCTCAGTCCTATATTTATATTAAGCCATCAGAGCAGAACTATAAACATAGTTCCGAATCATAAAATCATAGTTCTCCTTACAATGACTTCATGCTTTTAATGAAGGCACTTTCTCTTCACTCTTTACTCAGCTAATGCCATCTTTTCTAAGTATTTATTACAGCCTTTATAGCTAACAATTTTCCGGGTTTTGTGTTTAACTTCTCATGGTACATTTTTGGCCTTGTTTGGCACAAAAGTAATCACTGTTTAGCACCTAGGGCAATACTTTAACTATAAGAGGAAAAACAGGGCCATATTTTATTTTCAAAAGTCCATCTCTAGACCGGCATGAGTCTTCCTAGAAATCCCCAGCTCACTGAAGCTGATTCATATATCCTATTTTGACCCCTTCTCTCCCCATTCTCAACTTCAGGGGCATTGTTCCTCCTCGACCAAGCCCTTGTTTGCATCCTTAAACTTGAGCCGCCGCTCTGCTCCCAGAGTCCCATTCTTAGGAAAAGCCCACGCGTTACTCTGTAAGCCTGCTCAAGCGCGACTTTTTCTCCTCTGTCGTCCCAAGACTGCACTAACCCATTAAGCTCCGCAGTAAATCTGGCGGCTCTCCGAGCCCTCCCTCCCTCTCCTCATCTCCACCCTCAGCCAGCTGCAGCACTGCGCACTGCAGGCCGTTCCAGGCCCAGGGTAGCGCGCAACCAATGTCCTCCCAGCGGTCCAGGTCGAGGTCATAGCCCACCACGTTGCGAGTAGGCACCTGCCGCGAGTCTCGCCACTTGAGGCCGCCCAGCAGCAGAGCCGTCTCCTCCACCACCGCCAGCCCATAGCAGAAGCGATCATAGGGTAGCGGCCGCAGCCGAGTCCACTGGTCCGTGCCGGGGTCATAGCGTTCGATCTCAGAGAAGGGCTCATAGCGCCCCAGAAAGGCGAACACCGCGCCGCGCAGCACAGCCATGTGGTGCCCGAAGCGGGCGGTGCTCATGGGCGCCCTCTTGCTCCACGCTCGCTCCCCAGGGCCCAGGGAGTACACGTCCCGGAGGCTGCTCGCGCCGCCCTCTCCTCTTCCCGCCTTACCCCCAGAGATGTACACGACGCCACGGTCCCCGACGGCCCCCGCGTGGCCGTGCAGCGCCCGCGGCAGCGCCCCGGCCGCCGTCCAGCGGTCCCGGCGCAGGTCATACATCTCTACGGACGCCAGCGCCTGGCCGTCCGCGCCCAGACCCCCGACAGCCAGGAGCCCCTCGCCCACGGCGCCGCACCAGAAATGGGCCCGCGCTTCCCGCATAGCGGGCACCGCCGTCCAGGCGTGGAAGCGCGGGTCGTAACGGTGCACTTCGGCCGTGACCGGCCGCACGCCGTCTGCCGGGGGTGAGGAGGCGCCATCAGGACTCTCCCCGCCCAGGACGAAGAGGAAGTTGCCTGCGGTGCACACGCTGTGCCCCAGCAGCGGTGCAGGCAGCCGCGTGAGGCTGCGCCAGCGGTGGTTGTACACGTCGAAGGCCACCACGTCCTGGGTGAACTCCCAATCCTCCTCCTCCTCCTCCTCTTCCAACTGCTCGTCCTCCTCCTCCTCCTCCTCCGGCTCCGCCGCAGCGCCTCTGCCCCTGGCTACCACCTGGCGGACCACGACCTCCTCGGTCACCGCCTCCCGCGCCCTGCGCCCCCCTACCAACAAGATGCGGGTTTGGGGACTCCGGACGCTGGTCTGCTCGCCCTGCAAGAGCGGCTGGCGGGAGGGCGCCGTGTGGTAGTTGAGGGCCTGGATGATGAGGCCCTTGATGCGGGCGGGCAGGGCGAGGCCAGAGCCCGAGTACACGCGCCGCAGCACGTCGGCATGTACTAGGCCGAAGCGAACGCGCTCGAGCAGCGAGGCGCAGTGGGCCAGGCGTTCGGCCTCAGGCTCCTGCCTCAGCCAGGCCAGTGCCAGACCCAGCAGCGAGGCCTCGGGCACCCGCGCCAAGTCGGGGGCACCCAACACAGCCTTGAGCGACGTGGGGTTCAGCTCCAGCAGCCCCATGGGGCCCGCGCCCCGCAGCAGCAGCTCCCGCAGGTGACGCACGATGCAGCTCTCCGCGGCGCCCAACGTGTGCGCCAGGCCGAAGCGCGCCGCCACGTTGGCTGCGAAGCAGCAGTTCTCCGGAGCCAGCTGGCGCTCCAGGTAGCGGCCGCACAGCCCCAGCGCCTCAGTCACCTGCAGGTAGCTGGCGGCCTCCAGCGTGTCTTCCACCGTGTCCATGGACAGCGGCAGCCAGGCGGTGTAAATGAAGTCCAGCAAGCGCTGCAGGCCGGCCGCCGACGGCACGTGTAGGTGGATCACGCTGGCCCTGGATTCCCGGGTGTGGCTCTTGAACAGAGCCCTGAAGTAGTCGCTGGAACACGCGAGCAGCGACCTATGCGCCGGGAACTCGCTGCCCTCAGCCTCCAGCGTCACGTCGCACAGGAAGCCCTCGGCGCGCAGGGCCTGATAGCCGGTGAGCAGTGCGCCGCCATGAGCTTTACAGTAAGATAGGAAGTAACTCATGATGTCCGGGGCGGGACGCGGCCTGGCCGGGGCTGGAGCCCACCCGGCACGGCCAGAAGCATCTCGGGGTACGGCAACCCAGGGCCCCCTACGCGAGCCCCAGAGCCCCTAGCCGGGCCCCATTTTTGCCTGCTCGGCTTAAAGCCCAGGGCTCCTTCATCCAGGCCTGCAGATATCCCTGTACCCTTCTCAGAGCAAACCCGGTCGGGGTTGGTTTCCAGAAGCTCCCAGTAGCCGAGGGCGCGGAGTTTGGAGTCTTCCGGAGGGAGCGGGGTTTGCTTTTGGCTGCTGCCGAGGCTGCCAGCGGGTTGCCCGAAGCCCCCTCCCGGTCCCAGTTTGGGGAGCCCACACCTGCGCGCCAGGGGCCGCGGGGGCCACGCACCATCACCTGGAAGGGCCGAGCTGTGGGTGGACTGATTCTGAGGGGTGCTGGATCTCCGACAGCGCTGATGCGCGGATGTGGCCCGCCTCGGGGCGTCCCGGGAAGTGCGGGGCGAGGGCTCTGGCCTCCCGGGGGTGGACGAGAAGGACGGACACTGCGGGCACCCGCGAGGGCCGGGGACAACTGGGTATGGGGCGGAGAGGGGGGTGAGCTTGTTCCGCGCGGAGGATCAAATCAAAGCCTGGGGGATTAAGGAAGGGGGGGGCGCAGGTCAGCGCGGCGGGTCGGAGGCATGATTGGGCGCCGTACATAACATGCCGGTAGCTCACAGGGACAGGAATAGCGCGGGGCCTCGGCCTCCCGGGCGCGCCCCGCCCCGCGCCCCGGCTGCTGGCCGCGAACCCAGGGCCGGGGCACTGGAGGGAGCGGCCTGGGCCTGGGACCTGACTCTGGTGACCTGATGAGCCGCCGGTCACCGGGGGGGTCTCGAGAACTCGGCTAGGGCTGCAGGGATGCGAGTCGCCCGCCGAGGACCCTTCCCTGGTGGTGTCTAGGGAGAGGCGGCCGGCTGGACCGGAGGAGTGTCTACTCCCTGGTGCACTTGCGCCTGGGAAAGAAGCCCCTGGCTCAAAACTTTCTGCTTTGAGAAGGCCCTAATTAATCCGGCGGGGGCGGGGATTAAGCGGTGACTTTGCGCGCTGACACCCAGGAGGTCGCTGCGCGCAGTAGAGCTACTGGCGGGAACCACGCCCGGGGGAATCTGGGTCTCCCCGCCAGCTGCGCTCGGTAACACGTCCCTCACCTGGACTCACCCTTTCGAGATGCCGGGCCTACTCTGCGCCCTTCCCGAGGCGGCCCGCGTGTCCTGGGATGGTTTGTCTCACATTCCGCGCTGGGGAATTTGCTCCCACCCCCGCTCCCTGATCCAGCCAAGTTCTCCCTTCCTGTTCTTGGATCCTGCCCAACCCATCCCTTAGCAAAGTGGACAAGGAAATTGGGTTTTCTGCCTTTGAATGACCACTTCCTTTAAGAAAATAATTCCTTCCAGTTTCTCTCCCTGACTTTCCAGACTGTGGTCTAATTACTGCCTGCTACATCCTAAGTGCCCCGACAAGATAATGGGCAGTAAGGTCGCAGAGCTCGGTAGAGGCTAGAGTTTCCTAGGGCCCCTTTTCATGAAGTTATTTATAAGATGCACACAGCACAGAAATGATGACTAAAACCACCCGGTCTTGGGACATTAGGAAAGCATTTCTCCATCTCCTCCATCCTGCTCTTAAATAACTAAACGATTAATATAACTGTTCTTTCTTGCCAATTTGGAGCTCCTGTGTTTTGCTTTCATCAAGAATTGATTTTTCTATTTTCTAATGCAACCCCTCTAGCAGTCTGTTTTAAGTGAACCTTTTGAGGGTATCTGAAATAACTTGCATTTCTGAGAGTTGGGGTTGTGTTTCATAAAAAAGAAGTCGTCTAAGGAAGTATAAAAATATCGTTTTTGCCTCATACTTACAAGGTCTCCAATTAGAATTCTTGAAGTGCATAAAAATATTAGTAAAATGATCCTGCTTTCTTGTCAAAGATGGAATTGCATTATGACTTAAATTAGCCAAATTATAAAATGCAGGCAGAGGCTCAAGTTAAGAGCTTGCTTAAACTCCAGAGGCTAAAAATACTCTAATTTGAATTCCTAATGTTAAAACTACAGATGGATTCAGGCAGGGTGCTGGGTTTTGTTTTTTTTTTTTAAGTACTAAAATTCTTAGTTCAAAAATAAAATACCAGTTTGGTTCAGTGTGCACAGATCCGAATGGTGAAATTAAATGGCCTTTACTCGACTTAATAGAAATTTGCTAGAAGGGATATTGTAGATCATTTAGCCAAACTTTCCTTTTCCTCTGCAATTTCTTGTTTTTCTTTTCAAACAAATGTGGCAAATGAGCCCCAGAGAGAGTACAATTTGTCTAGGTGACTTAGATATTGAGTTACAGAGTCTGAACACGAATCCAGGGCTCTCTCCCCACTAAATTATGTGACCTCCCTTATGATAAAAATAAAATAGTGCAACACACCATCAGATTACTTAAACCAAATTTCAGAATGATAAAGTTTAAATAAAGTTTTTCAAGTGTGTTTTAACCCCAAAATCGATCACATCTACAGAGATCTGTCCATCGTCACGCATTCAGGTTGAATCCAAAATGTCACACTTACTTGAGAATAAAGCTGTGGAAGGCTTTACATCTTGACATCAAAAATCAATGGTAGGCAACAAGTATGTGTTCATTGCTGGTGCAACCTGCCATCTTTACGTATTTTGCCATTGAGGATACAATGAACTGTGTTAACAGGAGAACTTTTCATATTGGATGTGTTTCCAGGGTTTTGTCTAGAAAATGTAATTATCAATCCATCCAAGAACATTCTTGTCCTTTAAGTAATGTCTGTGGAAAGGATCAAGATTTTAATTTTTGTCCAATATTAAGTGTGCTAAATAATGCTTCAGTGTGTGCTTTTTTAGATGTCATGAGAGATGTGTGTCTTAAGCTGGATCCCCTGGAAGCAGTCTCTGCAGCCCAACCTGAACATGTGGGGAGCACATGTGGTAGGCTATGATCATCACGTTGAAAATGATCCGCTCTGAGTGGCCTTCCCCCTTTAGACTATAAGTTCCTCAAGGACAAGGAGTATTTCTTGATTTTTTTAACTTGTAGCCCAATCACAGTCTTTGGCATAAGTAATGTTGAGTTGAACAGACCTAGGGAACGGTACCTTGTGCTATCATCTGTGGGAGGAGTCAAGGGTTATTAAGAGGAACTTGACGGAGACAATTAGTTCCTTCTCTCTGGTTCTCTTTCTTCCCTTCACCTAGCTGGGGGTGAAGATGGATCCTGCTCAGGCTGTGAGCTCACAACCATAGGAATCAAATGGGTAACTCTGAGTGGTGCCTCACCGGACCTGACTCTTCTGAGAAGCCCCGACCACCTCCCCCAGCCCCCGCTGCAAGCCAGCACCACCCTGCAGCCAGAGTCCTCTACCCAGGTCAGTGCCACATGGCTCTCAGAATCTAGTCAGACGGGCTGCTGCTGCTTCTACCTGTACAAGGGGCCCCAGGTGGCCCCGCAGCTGCTCTGTACCCCAGTTTATATGGCCAGGCTTCTACTGAAGGCTTGGCTACACACTCAGGCATACCTGGTGGGACCCCGAAATTTGCACTGAACCCCTGACCCCTTGTCAGGACTGTGACCCACTGTCAACATTCCCTTCCATACATCTGCACCTCCTGTGAGAGATTGTAGAGCTGAAGTCCTCTGAGCTCACGCCTGACTTCAGGGGGGAACCTCCGGTCAGCCATGGTGCTCCCCTTTGCCTGAATCGGCTCTATCTAGCTCAACCTAAATTTCATAGTTCTCACCTCTAAAAGAATTGTATATGTTTAAAAAAACTCAAAACCTGCAAATATCCATGTATAATAGACACAACATTTTTTTGCAGGTATAACATGCTTTCTTTGGTAATGACTTAATGGAGATACGATGCACATACTGTACAAGTCACTAATTTAAAGAGGACAGTTCAGTGCTTCTTAGGGTATTTACAGTTCTGTAGCCAACACTGGAGTCTAATTTGGGAACATTTTCATCCCTGCATACAGAAAGCCTATGCCCTTTAACTCTGGCTTCTCTATACCACCAAGCCCCCAGCGTTAGGCAAGTGCTAATCTAGTTTCTATCTCTGCACTTTCTGGACATGTCATACAAATGCTCTCACACGGTATGATACCCGGTCTTTTGTGACTCATTTCTTTGACTTAGCATGTTTTCAGGGCTCTTCCATTGTAATGCACTTTTGAGGAAGAAAACAGTTATGTGTAGGAACAACACTGGGAACCTTTTCTCAAAACCACAAAACTCTAAAATGTGCCTATTTGATATTTAAGATACAGTGTTAGGCAGGTTAATTTCTTATCTCTCATTACGGACTCCTTGCAATCTCAATGTGCTTCCTTCCGACGCATGGCTTCTGGCAGCCTCCAGAGAGGGCCTATAATTAGAAATGGACACATTTAAGTTATCTAATTATAAAAACATGACTACAAACAATAACAGACACATAGTAGAGGAAAAACTCCTGTATTATCTTCACCCTGTTCCAAGACCACTTTCTGTGTACATGAAATTTCTCTTATCTTTGTGACATGCAGTTAAGTGGAAGAATTTCAAGGAGCGTCGTGTGTGTGTGTGTGTGTGTGTGTGTGTGTGTGTGTGTGTGTGTGTGTGT